TGAGCGTGTGTGTGCGTGAGTGGTCAATCACAATCAAGGGTCACCACCAGTTTCTACTAACGATAGACACCATGCAGCACCACTAGGACAAGCATGACACACAACACAAGACACACGACACAGGGGCGGCGGCGACACAACGAGCTGGAAGGTGTCTTCTCTCGTGTCATGCCACCCAAACATCAGAACCAGCAGGACATTTCTCCAGCCGTTTTTAAAAATCAGTTCTGCATACATATATTTCTAAATGTTTTTGTTTTTTCTCATCAGTTCTAGATACATTTACATTTTAAAAACATCTCTGGCTAAAACACTCAATTTATAAATCAGTTCTCGATAGAATGCTAGTTTATTTATTTTCTAATCAACCCTGAAGAAAATGTTCAGCTATTTTTAAAATCAATTCTGGATAAAATTTATCTTAAAAAAAAAAAATCTCAGCCTTGAAGGTGAAGGAAGAGTGCTAAAATTTCCCTTCTTTCCTTCCCCAACATCTTGGTACATTCATTCCAATACAGATAAATAGACATTTCTCTTTATAGCCATACTAACAGGCTATCTATCATACTTATCAAAATAAAATTCTGCTGCGCCCCATAATAACATTTCTAATGTGCATTTCAGCTAGATTGTAACGTTATAAATCAATATTGCTTTATCTGGCAGACTAAGAAAGCGACAGGACTTTTCAATAATCGTGGCAGAGTCATGACTTCACAATGGACTAGTAAAAAAGTATTATATATACTTAAGCAGAACCCTACCATGGTCTGTCAGAATACAGTCCAACCTGTATAAGACAACACCCGCTTACACTTACAGTTGAGGACAAAAGAGGTAATCTTAGACAAGGGGATCTCTTTAACCCTATCCGTACATCGGGTTTTTACTACCGTATCCAAATGACGTGGGGAACTCTGTGCCACCACTTTCCAAAGAGGAAATTTACTCGTTAATCCAATCTGTACGCTTTACATAGCAGTCTGTCAAAATGATTTTTTAAGAAATACTAAAAGTTTCAAAGAGATCTTCGCACTACAAGTATTCTAAAATGTGAAGAATACAACCCCAGGGGTATAAAATGACCCCAGGCATACGGATAGGGTTAACAGTGAAATAACAATACGTGAAAAATGCAAGGGGTGAGGGGGGGAGAAACATCGTCAATTATTCAGGTGGTTGTCTTGAACAGGAGGCTGCTAGGAGCCACTTCGACTGTATTCTCGTTTTGGACCAACAAAATCTGGTCGCATGTCACAACAGAGGAGAAGGCAACCCCAGCTCACAGTGCGACGATACAACACAAACAAACAAACAAGAAACAGACAGGCTGTCACTCACTCTTTAGCTCCTATCACCCCTTCCACCACATCCCTGCAGGGGGGGGAGGGGAACAGATTGAAGAGAAAAGGTGTTTTCAAAGTACACACATTACAAACACGTGGTCTGTTCCATGACGGCTGGAGAGATATACATCCGTGTGCAGCAAAATATCACAGAATATTGTAGACTTGAAGTATCATATCCTAGACCGGGCACTGTCATGCCACACCTACCCCCCCCCCCCCCCCCCCCCCCCCCCCCCCCCCCCCCCCCCAATCACATCCTCTACCCTCTACCCAGACGGAAAATTTAGTTATAGTTTTAGTAAGTGTTCTATGGCACTTGCAACACAATAAGGTCATATAGGTGCCGAAGATTAGAGGTGTTACAAGAGAGTAACAAACACAAAAAAGAAGGAAAAGAGATAAATATGACAGATGTTTGATAGGAAAGAAGAAGCAATCCACACCAGAGCACCCGCCAATCACCCACAAAATGTATCCACCTCTCTCATCCCTTCGTATTAACATACATGTCTCTCCCCGCCCTGAACTCCCCAAAAACAAAACCTCTCCAGGCCTTTATACTTGAAAATTGGCAGGAGGGAGAAGAATCCCTAGAAACTGCAAATCAAGAACAAAAATCTGGGATTCCAGTTTATCATACGACAGCCCTGAAGGATAAAGAAGGACAAACTACAACCGGACAGTTCAAGAAAAACAACAAGCTCTAGTGTCTTCCCGCGAAACGTCAACGAGAAGGCTGTGTGTGTGTGTGTGTGTGTGTGTGTGTGTGTGTGTGTGTGTGTGTGTGTGTGTGTGTGCGTGTGCGTGCGAGTGCGTGTTTGTGAATGAGCGTGTGTGTGCGTGAGTGGTCAATCACAATCAAGGGTCACCACCAGTTTCTACTAACGATAGACACCATGCAGCACCACTAGGACAAGCATGACACACAACACAAGACACACGACACAGGGGCGGCGGCGACACAACGAGCTGGAAGGTGTCTTCTCTCGTGTCATGCCACCCAAACATCAGAACCAGCAGGACATTTCTCCAGCCGTTTTTAAAAATCAGTTCTGCATACATATATTTCTAAATGTTTTTGTTTTTTCTCATCAGTTCTAGATACATTTACATTTTAAAAACATCTCTGGCTAAAACACTCAATTTATAAATCAGTTCTCGATAGAATGCTAGTTTATTTATTTTCTAATCAACCCTGAAGAAAATGTTCAGCTATTTTTAAAATCAATTCTGGATAAAATTTATCTTAAAAAAAAAAAATCTCAGCCTTGAAGGTGAAGGAAGAGTGCTAAAATTTCCCTTCTTTCCTTCCCCAACATCTTGGTACATTCATTCCAATACAGATAAATAGACATTTCTCTTTATAGCCATACTAACAGGCTATCTATCATACTTATCAAAATAAAATTCTGCTGCGCCCCATAATAACATTTCTAATGTGCATTTCAGCTAGATTGTAACGTTATAAATCAATATTGCTTTATCTGGCAGACTAAGAAAGCGACAGGACTTTTCAATAATCGTGGCAGAGTCATGACTTCACAATGGACTAGTAAAAAAGTATTATATATACTTAAGCAGAACCCTACCATGGTCTGTCAGAATACAGTCCAACCTGTATAAGACAACACCCGCTTACACTTACAGTTGAGGACAAAAGAGGTAATCTTAGACAAGGGGATCTCTTTAACCCTATCCGTACATCGGGTTTTTACTACCGTATCCAAATGACGTGGGGAACTCTGTGCCACCACTTTCCAAAGAGGAAATTTACTCGTTAATCCAATCTGTACGCTTTACATAGCAGTCTGTCAAAATGATTTTTTAAGAAATACTAAAAGTTTCAAAGAGATCTTCGCACTACAAGTATTCTAAAATGTGAAGAATACAACCCCAGGGGTATAAAATGACCCCAGGCATACGGATAGGGTTAACAGTGAAATAACAATACGTGAAAAATGCAAGGGGTGAGGGGGGGAGAAACATCGTCAATTATTCAGGTGGTTGTCTTGAACAGGAGGCTGCTAGGAGCCACTTCGACTGTATTCTCGTTTTGGACCAACAAAATCTGGTCGCATGTCACAACAGAGGAGAAGGCAACCCCAGCTCACAGTGCGACGATACAACACAAACAAACAAACAAGAAACAGACAGGCTGTCACTCACTCTTTAGCTCCTATCACCCCTTCCACCACATCCCTGCAGGGGGGGGAGGGGAACAGATTGAAGAGAAAAGGTGTTTTCAAAGTACACACATTACAAACACGTGGTCTGTTCCATGACGGCTGGAGAGATATACATCCGTGTGCAGCAAAATATCACAGAATATTGTAGACTTGAAGTATCATATCCTAGACCGGGCACTGTCATGCCACACCTACCCCCCCCCCCCCCCCCCCACCCACCACTCTTTGCTCTCTACAAAAATTTTGCTGCGTGCATGCGCTAGTGCGCACCGTGGGCACCCAAATGAACGGCCAAACACCGGTCTCGCTACAGTTGAGTGCATGCGCAACTTCTTTACATTTGCACTTAATTAGGTTCCAAATACTGTCAAATGATGCGCTTCACGGTAAAAGAGCGATTACAGAGGAGTCGGCATAAACCAAACAGTTACTCAAAAGAAAATATTTTTAAAAAAATAATGATCAGATAACAAGTAAAATCCCCAAGATCCCCCTCCTCCCCGCATTTGAGCAACCTCTCTCTAAACAACAAAAAACTCGGGAGGGCGAAACAGAAGAAAAAGAAAAATCAAGCTCTGTGGTCCCGCAGATGTTGGCTTTAAGCAGACTCCACTGTATAATGTCTGAGTGCCCGAGCAGAGATATCATACGACAAGTCTACAGCAGAGAAAAACTCACACAGTGCTGTGAGGGGAAAAAGCAAGAATGACACACAAAGGTACAGGGTACCACTTACTTACATCCTTGTTTTTACAAGCTTTACAAAGTACGAGTTTTTAGTTTTAGTTTTAGGAGAGGTTTTACGGGGAAAAAAGCAAGGCAATATATACAGCAATGAGATTTAAACCATAATATGAACATATATAATATTATATACATTTAAAATTGTCTCTTTTATCTTGTATATCGTTCTTTCAGCTTGGATGTATTATATCCCTCTCAGTCCACGTTGGCCCTGACAGGCAGGGTGGGAAGCCAGTCTTCTAAATGACCTAAAATGTGTCAAAGGGGGCAGAGAAACATCTACATTAAAAAAAAAAAAGTATTATTGTTTCTTCAAACACACACACACATAAATTGTCGCTTTTAAGGATAATTGGGCTAACCCAGATTTCGGGGTTTCCAGAAATCTTGACCTACACCGAAAGTGAGCATTGCACCACCTATAGGAGTAGTTTGGTTTCATTGGTGTGCATATTAATTGTTCGGTTATAGAGAAAACTCTCCTTGTCTTTTAAAGAAACTGAACAACGAGCAAAAACTTTACCGTCGATTTTCTCAAAACACCATTTTTCGGGATAGACCCCTTGGGCTTAAAAGCGACCAAATATACGTTGTCGTCATACGAAACCATATATACACACACATGTAATTTATCCACATAGAAGAAAAAGAAATAGCTTCAAAAAGAGAACCACAAACATCAGATCATCCCATCGTTCCCCTTTCTCTAAGTCACAGCAACATTCAGACAAATCAAGTGGCACCCCTGAAACAACATCACCACAGATATATGACAGTGTGTGTGTGTGTGTGTGTGTGTGTGTGTGTGTGTGTGTCTGTGAGTGTGTATGTGGCAGTGAAAGTAAAGGGAAGGTGAGGGGGGGGGGGGGAACAGAGCAATGAACAAAAAGAATACTAGCACAGCCAAAGAGAGGTAATTTGAGAGAGGGAGGGGAAGAGAGGAAAAGAAAGAGAGAAATGAAGAGAGGTTTAGAGAAGTGTAAAGAGGGATAAAGGGATATTTAAGTGGGATATAAAGATGTTTAAGAGGGATAAAGGGATATTTAAGAGGTATAAAGAGATGTTTAAGAGGGATAAAGAGGGGTAAATCCTGCACCTCCTCTCGATATCCTAAGGATACCCGAGTAGGGAAAAAGGTTTTAAAAGTACATGTAAATAAGTAAAGAGGGGTAAGGAGGGGCAGAGAGGAATAAAGAGAGGTAAAGAGGACCAAAGAGAAGGTTGAAAAGGGATAAAGAGTGGAAAATAGAGGTAAAGAGCAGTAAAAACATGGGGACAAGAGGGATAAGGAGTGGAAAAGAGGGGCAAAGAGAAGGGTGAAGAGGGTTTAAGAGGGGAAATGAGAGGTAAAGAGGCGAAAAAAAATGGGGAAAAGAGGGATAAAGAGTGGAAAAGAGGTGAAAAAAGAGTAAACAGGTTTTTAAACAAAAAAAAGGGGGAGGGGGGTAAAGACAGCTAGAAAGGGCTGAATAAAGAGTGTAAGCGTGTGGGGGGAAAGCAAGAAAGCAACTATGACAGCACGTAGGGGTGGGGTGGGGGGCGGGAAGTTGTAGGACATGCGGATAGTTAGAGAACGCTAGGAGTACGCCATTGGCTGATATTTATAGTAACATCCATCTTCTTTGACCTATTCTTTAACATACATATAATATAATGAGCATTCTCATAACACTTTTGCTAAAATGAAAAAAGAAAAAAGCTTTCTTTTTTTACTTCACATTTTTCCCCCAGATCAGACAGTGAGAGAGTAGGTCTGGAATTTCTTTTGTCTTTTGTCAGAATGAAGAACACTATTTTATGACACAAACAAGATGGCCCTGACTATAAACATCGGCCAATGGCCTACTCCTAACGTCCTCTAACTATCCGCTTGTAGCTGTAGGTGTGTGAGAAAGCGTGTGCTGTCAGCGCTTAGCAGTGGCCAGTGGTGATGGGATGACACGGTAAGACAACACGGTAAGGCGACATATTAGGCGGCCACCCAAACTGTAGCACATTTATGTGCGTGGGAAGCTGGCGGGTGCTCTGGTGTTGATTGCCCCTTATTTTCTATCAAACATCTTTTTTATTTAGTTTTAATAAGATTTTTACGGCACTTGCAACACAGAAATAAGGTCGTATAAGTGCCGGAGAATAGATGTGTTACAAGAGAGTAACAGTAACATACACAAAAAAGGAGAGATGAGGAGAATAGATGTGTCATAGGAAAGAAGGAGCAAACCACACAGGAGCACCCTCCAACCACCCATTTCAAACATCTATAGATATAATCGTCCTTATCTCTCCTCCATATTTTTCGTTCGTACTTTACTTTCTAGTAACACCTCTAATCTTCAGCACTTATAATATGAGTGACCAATTTGTGTTAAGAGTGCTGTAAGACTCTTTTTATTAATGAAACTAAAACTAAAGCATATTTACAAACTTGTGACTCTCTCCCTACAGATATAGTACTCCACACACACTCGCACGCGCACACACACACACACACACAAACACACACACAAACACACCACAATGCATCAGGAGGGATAGAGCCACTGACTGAAGGATGAAAATGATGGAAATCAAAGAAGAAAACAACATAACCCAGTCCCCCTCCCCCCCCCCCAAAAAAAAAACCCAACAAAAAATCCACAAATGTATAAATAATTCAAAAGCCCCGGGCAGCTGCCACGTCATATTGCGTAATTTACTGTCCTGGCGGGGCAATATTCTTAAGGCCTCACACTCAAAGAAATTAAATCAAAACTTGACAAACAGCCAGGGAAAAGGACCCGCAGCTCATCCAAGAGGCCATATTAATCAATTATACTGAGAAACAATTACACTGAGAAAAAAAAACATACAATGAATGTGCCATGGAAAAAAAAAAATAACATTACAGATAGAAAGACAAGTTCAAACAGAAACATAGTTTTATAAAAACAGATGATAAATCGCATCAAGGGCAGAGATTATTAAATTTCACAGCCAAACACAAATTTTCCCTTTTTATTTCGGTTTTGTTTTTTTGCAAGCATGCCCTCCTAGATCTACAATCTAATTAGCCTGTTCAAAGACCCACAAAGCACAAATAAAAACTGTCGCAGGCAGGCAGGCCGCCTCCTCTCTGTTAGACCAAACCTTTAGTTTTGTATGTTTGTAAAACAGACAGACAGACAGACAGAAACAACACAGGGAAAGAAAAGAAATAAGACCTACCAGTGGCGCCCTCCAACCACCCTGCCAACAAATTTCTAGTTGACAGTGGGTGGGTGGTTGGCGGATGTTTTACTGTAGTTTGCTCTTTCTTTCCCATCAAAAATCTGTCCTCATTATCTCTCTTTTTTTTCCCTTTGTGAGTAACATAAGTCTTAAGACTATTAATCACATTCACATCCAGGCCTTTTAACGTTTTAACTCTTTTAATTTTAACGCCATGACGGGGGGTGGGGCTGGTAATTAAATCAAAACAAGTGAACCTATTTCAATAGCTCTTCGTCTAATGAATGATCTCCTGGTAAAAGAGACTTTTTTGGGCGGAAATTATGCCGAAAAGTAATTTGATGTCAAAGTCGTTGTAAAGGAATGCGCTCAAGCGACTGTCTGCGGCTCACCAGCACTGTGGTTCTGACCGCGATAGTTTAAAAAATGCTGGGGGTAGTCTTATGCCAGGTAATTTAGAGGCATAATAACAGGGGTCTCAACTCAGAATTTTAAATAATGGAGGATGGGTCTCAACTCAGAATTTTAAATAATGGAGGATGGGTCTCAACTCAGAATTTTAAAAAAGGAAGATGGGTCTCAACTCAGAATTTTAAATAATGGAGGAACTTTCCGCGCGATCGAGACAGAAGATCATTTTCGCAGAGACACTCATTATTATTATACTGTTTAACCCTAGAATGTTGAAATAAAAACCATCAGCTTATCCCTGCAAGGTTATATTACATACGAATTTGAGAGTTTGGAAGATCATTTCAAGCAAAAGAGTCACTTACCAAATATTCACAATCTTGATTATGTACAGAAAGTGGTGGCGCATTACAGGGAGGTGGCCCTCCCAGTAGCAGAGTTTAGCGGTGGAAATGGCAGTAGCGGAAACCCCGCTCAATAGCGGAACATTGATGAGACCCATAAATAAGGACAGTTGAACCTGTCCAAGAAGACCATTCATTGTGGGTGGGGGAGGAAAGTGAACATCTAAGACAGGTTCGTTCTCCTGTACAGTGCCGTTATAATATAAAGTGGGAACTGATCATCCTGAACAAACAGGGTGGGTTGTTA